GAGAGAAGTGATAGAGGAAAAAATGGATAACAAATCCTAGAAGTACCTGGTGGCGCCCAAATAAACCCAATTCGAGTGTTGAATAGGTGGACTGAGAGAAGATTTGAAGGTAGCTTGGGATGTTAGGAGCCAATGTATAGAAAAAAGCTTTTTTTAACCGACTGCCAGGTTGGGTGCCATTATAATAAGAACAAATAAAAAAGCTGTAGTTTCGGCCGGGCCGAACTTTGAATACCTTCCACCATTTGGTACAAATTTAACCATTTAAAAAAAATATAAAATCCGTTAAAAATTCTTTTAAAATCTTAAAAATACCGAATGTAGCCCCATATATTAGGGTCTATACAACGACATGGACCTGCATAGGCAACTTTTGACGCAAGCTATTACAATATTCAAATGCGAAACTTGAAAAAAAATCTGTTCATAATGCAGCTAAAATCATTAAAATACCGCATATCGGGAGGTCCCACAGGGGGTTATAAAACGTGGACCTGCACAGACAATTTTCTGTCATAGGCTGTAGTATTCATTACGAACTTTAAATACTAAATTTGAAATAGTTCTGGTAAAAAAATGTCTCAAAATGCATCAAAATACCGAATATGTGGAGGTACCGTTATATGGGGGCTATACGAAGACGTGGACCTACATGGCCCATTTTCTGTTTTATGCTGTAGTATCTATTACGAACTTCAAATACCAAATTTGAAACAATTCCGGTAAAAATGTCGCTAAAATCATTAAAATACCGAATATCAGGAGGTACCAATAGGGCTATACGAAGACGTGGACCTACATGGCCCATTTGCTGTCTTAAGCCGTAGTATCTATTACGAACTTTAAATACCAAAATTTGAAACAATTCCGAGGATTAATGTCGCTAAAATTATCAAAATACCGAATATCGGGGGTACCGTTATATGGGGGCTATACGAAGACGTCGACCTACATAGCCCATTTTCTGTTTTATGCTGTAGTATCTATTACGAACTTTAAATATTAATTTTGAAACAATTCCGACGATTAATGTCGCTAAAATTATCAAAATACCGAATATCGGGGGGTACCGTTATATGGGGGCTATACGAAGACGTGGACCTACATGGCTCGTTTTCTGTCTTAGGATGTAGTATTCATTACGAACTTCAAATACCAAAATTGAAACAAATCCGGTAAATAAGACGCTAAAATCATCAAAATACCGAAAATCTGGAGGTACCGTTATATGGGGCTATACGAAGACGTGGACCTACATGGCCCATTTTCTGTCTTAAGCCGTAGTATCTATTACGAACTTTAAATACAAAATTTGAAATAATTCCGGTAAATAATGTCACTAAAATCATCAAAATACCCAATATCGGGAGGTACCGTTATATGGGGCTATACGAAGACGTGGACCTACATGACTCATTTTCTGTCTTAAGTCGTAGTATCTATTGCGAACTTTAAATATTAATTTTGAAACAATTCCGGTAAATAATGTCGCTAAAATCATCAAAATACCGAATATGGCGGGGTACCGTTATATGGGGGCTATACGAAGACGTGGACCTGCACAGACAATTTTCTGTCATAGGCTGTAGTATTTATTACGAACTTCAAATACTAAATTTGAAACAATAATGTCTCTAAAATCATCTGTCTCTAAAATCTAAATAATGTCTCTAAAATCATCCAAATACCGAATATCGGGAGGTACCGTTATATGGAGGCTATACGAAGACGTCGACCTACATGGCCCATTTTCTGTCTTCGGCTGTAGTATTCATTACGAACTTCAAATACCAATTTTGAAATAGTTCCGGTAAATAACGTCGCTAATATCATCAAAATACCGAATATCGGGAGGTACCGTTATATGGGGGCTATACGAAGACGTGGACCTACATCACCCATTTTCAATATTAAAAGTCCTGCAGATATAATACACATTTTAGTAAATTTTTATCAACTTACTTCATTTCGTTCGGAAGCTAGAGTAATTAAAATTTCGACCTTTTGGGGGGTGGGGGGCAGGAGATACCAGAAGAAGTGGACCGATATTTCCCATCTCCAAACTCGATCTAAGTTTGATAATAATATTACGGTGTACTATGTTTGGACCAAATCGGATACTTCCTTCCAGAGTTATCGTACACCAGCCAGACAGACCGATATCACTAGATCGACTCCAAATGTCCTGAAACGGATTTGGTCCAAAGAAACATAGGGTCTAAGACCGTTATTTCGATAAGGCACGTGTTGGCCGTTTGGCCGCCATTATGTTTTGATGTTCATCGAAGTCTTCGCCAAGAGTCTCGAATATCTTCCCTACATAAATAGGACTACTAAAAAAAGCCTGACCAAACCTTGCTCCAAAATTTAGACGAGTAAATTTTAAGATCTACAATTGAGACGAGTGTCTCTTTCATGATGTAGCAAGAGATGTTAAGTAAAACATCATCTCAGGCTATGCTTTTTTCCTATTCCGTTTTAAAATCAGATATAATTTTTTTCAAGAAGAGGATTTCTGATTCCATAATCGTGCAGAGTACACTGACAACCAATTTTTTCTTAATTTTTCGACTCAGCTTTATAACGCTGATGTAAGAACCCAAAGCTGTGGAAAATTCGATGAAAATATTAAATATGATGTCGGCCAATTAGGATTCAGTACCAGGACTACATATTAATCGGTTCCATTATGAAATCTATGATCTGAAATCTATAAAAATCTGAAACGTCTTCTTCAGCAAAAGCAGAAAATCAAAATTGCTTGTCTATCAGCCTATAAGATTTACCGGGCTGCTGGCGCCCAATATAAAAACTGCTAAGGTTTTATATTTTGCTGACTTTTAACATCTTTGAGACAAAAGCGCTTAATCCAAGAAAATATTAAAAAGGGGTCGATGGTTAAATATTATCACTAGAATGGAGAACACTTGATCCGGAATGGGCGCCATTGCCTTAAATTCGAGGTCCAAATCTTTTTTAATAGCGTCATCCCTCTGCACTGAAAGTAGCTTCGACCTGATATTGGGCGCCAGCATATTAGAAACCCATTGGTGTTGACTAAATACCAGTTCGGGCGCCAGTATATTCCAATGCCCTAGAACTTGAACTAGTTTGGACAGAGGGACAAAATTTTTTTGATGGCGCCCAACTCGAAAGCTAATTTTTAGTTTTAGCTAACTGGTTCCTTCTGCTTTCGAATAAGATCTAGGATTGCTGAGTGAGTTAACATTGGACGCCAATATGTATATTGGGAACATTCTGTTCAAAAAAGCCATGGATCCTGAAAACCCAGTTGGGGCGCCAGTTTGTTTTGATTTCACAGAAACTGAAAGAGCTCATAGCATTTGCAGAATAATATCTGATGGTAGTGCAAGCATATTGGAAAAGTACTAGATCCTGAACTACTACTAGATAGTGTTTTCCGATTCCAAAGAACCAGAACGAGAATCTAATATTTGTAGAAAAAAGACATAATATTTCATTAAAGCTTATGATGGCGCCCAATCAAACATTCAGTCATGAAACTAAATTTTATCGCTAACTGGCTTCTGGCCTCGGCTCATGGGATGGCATTGAACATAAATCGCGTCCACCACATTCCATTATCATTACCAGCTAGGGCGCCAGTTTTATTTCTGAAGTTAGCTGTGACCCCATGTTAAGCGCCATCATATTCGAAAATCCTTGATCCTGATAGACTACTAGGTTGGGTGGGTATAACCCATTTGTACTGACAAAGGGATAAAATTTCAATAAATTCGATGATAATGATGGAGCCCAATTAGACACCAACTCGAGGACTAAATATTATAATTATCGTCTTTTTCCCTCAGCCCTGGGATGAAAATTGAAGGTAGATCTGAATTTATGTTGGGCGCCACCAAATTCGCAGCAATTAATGACAGCGGTTCTAAAAGAATGTTAAACTTCACCATAGCAGGAAAACCTAACTGCCAGGCTGGGACAGTTTCCTATTTCTGGTAGAAAATACCTTAGGTGCCTTTAATTATCCTTTAAAAATTCTTTAAAAAAATCCACGTCTATAGTCCTTTAAAAATTCTTAAAAAAAATCCACGTCTATAGTCCTTTAAAAATTCTTTAAAAAAATCCACGTCTATAGTCCTTTAAAAATTCTTTAAAAAAATCCACGTCTATAGTCCTTTAAAAATTCTTTAAAAAATCCACGTCTATAGTCCTTTAAAAATTCTTTAAAAAAATCCACGTCTATAGTCCTTTAAAAATTCTTTAAAAAAATCCACGTCTATAGTCCTTTAAAAATTCTTTAAAAAAATCCACGTCTATAGTCCTTTAAAAATTATTTAAAAAATCCACGTTTATAGTCCTTTAAAAATTATTTAAAAAATCCACGTTTATAGTCCTTTAAAAAAATCCACGTCTATAATCCTTTAAAAATTCTTTAAAAAAATCCACGTCTATAGTCCTTTAAAAATTATTTAAAAAATCCACGTTTATAGTCCTTTAAAAATTATTTAAAAAATCCACGTTTATAGTCCTTTAAAAAAATCCACGTCTATAGTCCTTTAAAAATTCTTTAAAAAATCCAAGTTTTTAGTCCTTTAAAAATTGTTTAAAAAACCCACATTTTAGTCCTTTGAGTATCCTTTAAAAATTGTTTAAAAAATCCACATTTTTAGTCCTTTGAATATCCTTAAAAAATTGTTTAAAAAATCCACATTTTTAGTCCTTTGAATATCCTTTAAAAATTGTTTAAAATATCCAAAGCAAATGAAAAGTGACAGCTCTAAGCAACTTGGTTTATTTCCAATAACAAAACCAATAACATTGGCTTCTATGACAACCAAGACCTTATTGGGTTCTCATTCAGAATGTTTTATTTGATAGCATTTTTAAACGATTTTCTTTGAAAAATGCCCCATTGAATAAATAAACTTCACTTTTGAATACTTTAAATAATACCACCGAGGTACTATGCACCCTTTACATTCCCATAATTCCCGATCTTAAAATCTAAAACTCACCCCTTGCCACTGCCACCGCCGTGTGAACCACCCTGGCCATCAGGTGATCTGCGTTTAGCTTCCGATTCATAGTCATCTGCAGCACTGTCATCACCGTGTGCCGCTTTCCTTCCCCCTTCCGCATCCATGGCCGAAGACATCACCTTGGAATCCGGTTCGCCAGCAATCACATTGTAACTCTGCAAATTTGCACTTTCACATTCAACTTCTGGCATTACTGAAATAGCACTTGGTTCACTAACCCTTTCCGATGTTCCTGCGGCCGTCATAGCGGCCGCTGTTGAAATGTCAGCATGGTGGGAAGAGTCTGCACTGCCGCCGCCCTGCCCGCCCTGGGTTGGTGTCATCTGTGAGCCATCTGCCGGGTTTACCACCGAAACAGAGGCTTCGATGGGTTGGCTGGGTGGCATGGGTGATTTTTGCCCTCCCTTCCCACTGGGATCTTCTGCGGTGCCCAAACGTGAAACTGACTCCCCCGTTGCCTTCCCCACTCCCGAGGGTTTTTTCTCCACCACTGTTGTAATGCTGGCCGTTGGCGAGGCTCCACTGTCCGACGTGAGTCCCATGTCCTGTTCAAAACTTTTCAGATCCGTTAAATTCTCAGATATGGTCTTTTGAATTTCCTCTGTGGCTTCGGTTACGGTCTTTTGGATATTCTCCAGGGTTTTTTGAGATTTCTCCAAGATTGCCGCAGCCGGTACCGGAGATCCCGTGTCATCCCGCAATTGTTTGGTGGGAGAAGTCGCTATAAATATATCAGGGGAAGAGATTATTAATTCGAGAAGAATTTCTGTATGCGACAGCTTACTTACATCGTTTCTCATTGGCCTTGCCAGGGGTCTCGGGAACAATTAGATCCAAAGTTTTCTTGCTCAGATTGCTGTCGGAACGTTTCTTGCCCAACAGACTTATTTTGGAACTTACACGCATTAGGGACATGGAGGAGGGTTGTCGTTTTAGGGCGGAGAGCGTTGCCACATCGGCTGCAGCCACGGCTGCCGTGGCAGTTGCCGTGGCCCCTGCGGGTTCGCCATTCTTTTGGACGACAAATGTTGAAGCCATATCACTTTTTAACGGTTTCCCCATGGCCGAGGAAGACGTGTCGGATTTACTGGAACCAACAGCCGCTGAAGTGGTTTTCTTGCCATTTGCTTGGGGTTTTGTGGCTGCCGAAGTTCCGGGTTTTGCATCGCCTGCTTTCTTTTTCAAATTCAAAGAAGAAGGTTCTCTTTTCTTTGTTGACGGACCCACGCCAGCGGGTTTTCTTGCCAAATTGGATGGCTCCCGTTTGGGTACTGCCGGTTTAGTGGGTGGCAGGCCGGGTTTCCTTGCCGTTCCCGGCGTCGTTTCTTTTTTAGCTGCACCTCCTCCATTCCTCCGTACAGATGAAGGAGTTCTCCTAGCCCCTGCCTCGGTTTTGCGTACCGTTGAGGGTGTCTTTTTGGCACTTGTCTGCTGCTTACCTGTCGTCGCTTTCGCTTTCATCGATGAGGTGCGTCGAATATCACTACTTGGTATGGGTGGTTTCCTCCTCCCCGATGCCCTGGATTGGCTGAGATCGTCTTTGTGACTCACGGGAATGCGAGAGCGTGAAGAACGTTCTGGACTTGCCCGGGACTTACTGCGACTACGTGAACGTGATTTTGATTTTGCTCTCCGGGGACTCACCGAACTTCGCCTTGCCGCTGAGCGTCTGGGCGTTGTTCGTTTGGGACTAACAGATATGGATTTTCTCCTTCTCTCCACCGGGGATTTACTGGGCGATTTTCGTTCGCCTTGCGGAGAGGTGCTGCCTCCCCTGTGTACCGAATGCATACTCAGTCGTGAATTCGATCGAGAATTGGCAATTTCCTTGGCCAAATCCATGCGTGACTGAGGCCGAGAACCTGGCAGGGAGATGGGTCGTGTGGAAGCTCTTGAAGTTGATCTGGAAGCTGCCCGAGATTCGTTGCGTGAGGCTGCCCGTGACTGTGAGCGTGATTGGGTCCTTGATTCTGCCCGAGATGCAGCACGTGATCCCACCCTAGACCCAGCCCTGGAGGTGGAACGGGATCCAGCTCTTGACCCCGTCCGGGAATCCATTCTTGATTGCGCTCTTTCTTCTGCTCGCGAAGCTACTCTTGATTCCATTCTCGAATGGGTTCTCTCCTCATGCCTAGACTGGGATCTTGAATCCATTCTGGACTCGCTTCTTCCCTCCTCATGCCTGGATTGCGATCTTGAGTCCATTCTTGACTCACTTCTTCCTTCGGCTCTGGATTGGGATCTGGAGGTGGCTATGGTCTCATGTTGTTGGACGCCACCGTATTGGGATGCTCTTGAGCCCGAACGACTGCCGACTTGGGCGCCACCATACTGAGAAGCCCTTGATCCGGAACGACTACCAGGTTGGGCGCCAACATGCTCTGATGCCCTGGAACCTGAACGACTCCCTGCCATTGGCATGTCATCGTACATCTCTTTCATGGGTGATCCAGCCATGGAACCCGTCCGCGATTCATGCATTTCCAGACGTGAACTTGCCCTGGAATTTGTTTGACTTCTAATGGGAATTTTCGACAAGGAATCTCTGCGCGAGTTGCTGTCCGACATACTATCTGAGGGTGGGGCAGCTGGTGTACGCATTGCATGTGTTGGACTTTGGGCCGAACTGCTATCCTTGTTGGGCGTGCCTATAATCGGTGATAGGGGAGTGGGTTTGGCAATCTTTGTGCGCAGGGGTCTTCCTGTTGCCCCCGTTGTTGTTATGACCACACTGGAACTGGAGGAAGATTTTCTCCTTGAGCCCGGACTTGGCAACTGATAAGTGGATTTTCTTCGCTTCGGTGTCTGGGGCGTGGAGGAGGCCTTGGGTTTAGCCCCACCACCAAGTGAGGGTCGTCGAAAACTAAAATCTGATGTTGTCACTGAACTGAGATTTGAGCTTCGCCGATCCGAGGTGGTTTGGGTAGAACTGCGCCTTGAGGGTGAAGTGGAGCTGGAACGTCTCCTCGTCTTCGGATCATGCAGGGGTGAGAGTAAAGGTTTCCCCTTTGACTCCATGGTCAAGTCTTCCATACTGGCCCAGTTCGATTGGGAGGGAATGCGCGATAGGATCTCTTCGTGGTTAAGTACCTTGAGTAGACCCTTTTGCTTGCGTGTCGGATTGGGATTGGGTTTAATGGGCCTTGGTAGGGCGCCTGGTGGAAATACCGCTTTCTCTGGTCTTAAATCTAAGGCAGAACGATTCAGTCTTGGTATCGAAGTCCGATAAGGATCCGTGATCATGGGCAGGGCTTCCATGCTTTTCATGTGGGGTTTTTTGTGGTCCATTGGTTCGTTTAGCGGGGCGGAGGGTCGTCGCTTCGTCGGTGATGGCCTGTGAGCGGTGAGAGGTTCCCTCTGATGCAGAATACCCTTTTGGGTTGGCAGTTTACTGGGACTATATCTGCCGGACATGTCGAATTGCACCGAAGGCCGGGGCGAGTCTTCGATGGGAGTTTCGGCCAATGTGGGCATTAGCTGAGGCAGTTTTAGCTGGGTGGAAGATAGAGATTTACGCTGCATAGGAGATTTGGATGGCGTGGCTGATCTCGAGGGTATTAGGGAGGGAGAACTTAGTTCGCGGGTCCTTTGGTAGCGTGGACTTTGTGATTGGGAAGACATGGGCAGCGGTTTCTCGTTGAGTATGGTAAAGGAGGTCTTTTTGTGCAGGCGGGATTGCTCAACCCTGGAAAAGGTGGGGGAATTAATTTCGAAAAAAATCATTTTTTGAAGTGGAAACCTACCTAAAATCCCCTCCCGTGGTTATGGAGTCTTTCAGTATCACAGGTGACCGTTCCCTAAGCAAGGGAGTTTCCGGCTCTCTCAGGGAGTCTTCGCTAATTAATTGAGGTTGTGGCGGTATGGGTGGTGGTGGCAAGGGTGGCAATGGTGAGGAGCTCTCATCATCGACGGCCTCACCCAGCAGTGAGAGTGGCTCCTCCTCATCTTCCAAACTGTCACCACTGACCTGAGGGGCAAAGACACTTTTCCGCCTTTGCTTGATATACTCCCGGGGAGAAAGTATCAGTGATGGAGACTCTTCCAGAGAACGAAGGCAGGAGGGTGAGGGACTGGGTGGCCTATCTGGGACCCCTAAACTTGCCAGGGAGACACTGGGTTCCGGTAAAATTTGTGTACTGGACATGAAACGTTCTTCGGCCCCACTACTGGAACCATTCGAATCATTGATCATGGCTGCCACCGGGGAGCTAAGAGGCATTTCATCACGTTTTATGGACATGACATTTTTCGAACTGGGCCTGAGGGTGGGCATTTTGTTGAATTCGGGATATTCCAGGCTGGCCTGGCGAAACCATTCACCGCTGGAATAGGACTCGTTGGAGAACTGATGGGGCATCATATCGGTCTTTTGGGGAGGACTATATGAAAAGAAACATTGATGTTGAGGGGAGGAATGAAGAAACTCCCAAAAACCTTACCTCAAGGTTGTCAAATCCATATCCGCTGGGGCTTCCTCCCTTGCCACACTACTGGATTTCCGGGTGGTGGTTGCCTCACTATACTCCCTCAGCGAACGATTATCACTTATCGTATAGGTCTCTTTGAGTTCCATGACATCCTCCGCCTGTGTGGCCTCATAACCCCTGGAAGCGCTCAACATTTCCTTGGGAGTGAGTAACCTAAAATTCGGCGAATTTTGATTACCCGATGAAGATTCACCACTCGAGTTGGGCAATATTTGTATGTCCGGTGGTTTCAGCCTGGGTATGGCCGAGGGTAAGATCTCAAAATTCCTGGGCGATGGAGTGGAGATGTTCGAAAAACGCCTTCCCCTCAAACTGGTATAGGGTACCTGAGGAAAAAGTCTCGCCGGCTGATGGCTGGCGCCCAACAGTTGGTCCTCATCGGAGGTCAGTTCCACCGAGGTGGCACGCAAAAAGGCTGGCGATTCAAAACCCCCCGCCAAAAAATCATCCGGCGGCGGCGGAGGTACTGGATCACCAAAGAGAGAATTAAACGCGGGTTCCATCTCGATCTCTGTATCCACATCCACCTCGGGGTTACTGCTCTGACGTGTGGAAGATCTAGATGGCAGCATCATGTGTGTGGGATAACGTCCCGTCTGAGGCCTCAACGAAGAGGGTGCCATGACCTGATAGTTATAGTCCAGCGGTATTATGGAGGGCGTTTCACGTTTCGAGGCCGTTGAGCTGTGCGAAGGTGGTCGGGAATTGTTGACAAACAAAGGTTGTGGCGAGGAGAATGATGATGAAGATGATGGGTTCATATTAACCTATTTGGTCAGGCGGTGTGTGTGGAAGTTTTCTTTTTGTCATGGAGCTACAACTACAGAGGGATCGGGAAAATCTGAAAGAAATAACAGGAAAATCGGGAAATGTTTGTTTTGTTTTGGGAAAATTGAAAAATTTGTCCTACCCACCTTGGCTACATATTCCTCTTGAATTTTTTTTTTCCTAAATTTTCGCTAGTTCCTTGAATGGTGTCAACTATTTTCCTAAGACCAAAGAGAATTGTTGTTGGGTTGACAGTTGTTGTTTTTGTTGTTGTTGCTGCTAGCGGCCGGCATTTGTCGTCGAAACACATGGACAATGTTTACCATTATCGATTTCCAGGGATTTCTTTTCGATTGCAACAAATACTTACTCTCTCCCTCTCTCTTTTAAAATTGTTTTTCTCTCTCTCCCTCTCTTTGGGCCTCTCTCAAAAAGCTTTCTTTCAAAATCCACCGCCGCCGTCTAGCTCTTGAGGTTATCAAAGTTCAATGCATACTAATAATGCCACCATCATTTTCGTTGGCTCAACAAGCCAAAGTCCTTCATTGGTGGTCAAGTGTTTGAAGATGGCGAGCAAAAAAAAATTCTCTTTTCCTTTTCCTGGCTTTATTCGCCACTGTCCCAATTTCACTTTGCAAGTTGTTGTTGTTTCTAGCCTTTTGTTTAATTTTTATTTTCTTTGGTCCGTTGCATGTCCAGTTGGACTTAAATATGGGCAGAATGGCTTTACTTTGCGGAGCCTAAGGATAAGGATACCTTAGATGTTTGTGGAATGCATTTGTTGTAGAGTTTTTGTTGTTGTCGTTGTTGTTCGCTGAGATTCCTTGGCAGGATTCCTATGAGTTGATTATGCACTGCCTTTGGGTTATGGCTGTAATGCATTTCCAAGTAAAATGGTTTTAGAGTTCATTGGCTTCGAGAAGTCCGTTTTTTGGTTAACTGGAAGAGGGTGCAGGGATCATTGTTGAAATTGTAGAGCTTAAAGGGGGAAGAGAGAGAGAGAGATGAGAGGTAATTAATTTTGAAATCAATTAAATCTTAATAAAATCTTATGATTAAAATAAACGCAAGGATGGTGCATGCTTTTAGGCAGCAAGATAACATTTTCATAATGTAAAGGAGATCAAAAGAAAGTGGTCATATATGAGTAGTATAGAGAGATGTTTAATATTCTCTCAAAATTTCTTAGGAAAAGATTTCTTAAAAAAATTGTAAACAGCATCATTAATTCATAATATATTAAAAAGTGCTGCATACTTTAAGGAAAATATTTTGCCTTTTTTTAATTTTATAAACGATCAGAATGAAGGCCCAACAGACGAGCCCAATGGATATTTTGTTAATAGATTTCTCAAGAAAATTTTCAAACATATATGAGCGGGGCATACTTTTAGGCCGAAAAATTTAATATTTCAAAAGAAGAATATCGAGTTGAAGATTATCATTCATGATAAATGAAAGGGTACTGCATACTTCAAGGAAAATAAATACATGTTTTTTTAGATTATATAAACGGTCTGAGTGAATATTCCACAGTTGAACCAATTAAGGATGTATTTTTTACAAATTTAAATAATGAAATAATGAGGCACAAAAATGAGGCACATTCTATCCGGAGGGAATCTCTGGATTGAAATTATTACTATGTTTAATAGAATTCTTAGAATTATTTAAAAAATTATAACCAAATTTTAAAATTGATTAAAATACATAATGCATACTCTTAGGCAAAAGTCATTTAATCCTTAGTTAGAGTTAGAGAGGGGAGTATTTATAGAAAAGTCATAGGGTGTCCTTATAGACGAGCTAGAGAGAAGGAGAGATAGTAACCATAGTTGAGCTTGGGAGAGAGTCTATATAGCGGAGCCGGAGGGAGTCTCTTTGGACGAGCTGGAGGGAGAATATCTATAACTGAACTGGAGGGGGGATCTTTATAGACTAGCTGGAGAGAGTCTCTTAAAACGACCTGGAGAGAGAAATTATCTATAGACACGAACTCGAGGGAGTCTTTATAGACGAGCTGGAGAGAGAGTCTTTTTACACGAGCTTGAGAGAAAGTCTCTTCAGACTAGCTTGAAAGAGTCTCTGTAGAAGAGCTAAAGAGGGAGAATCTCTATAGACGAGCTACAGAGAGAGAGAGAGAGAGAGTCTATAGACGAGCTACAGAGAGAGAGAGAGAGAGAGAGAGAGAGTCTCTATAGACGAGCTACAGAGAGAGATAGAGAGAGAGAGAGTCTCTACAGACGAGCTACAGAGAGAGAGAGAAAGAGAATCTCTATAGACGAGCTACAGAGAGAGCCTCTATAGCGGAGCCGGAGGGATTCTTTTTAGATGAGATAGAGGTAGAATATCCATAAATGAGCTGAAGAGAGAATCTCTATAGACGAGCTCTAGAGAATCTCTATAGACGAGCTCTAGAGAATCTCTATAGACGAGCTCTAGATAATCTCTATAGACGATCTGGACAGAGAGAGAGAGGGGAGAATATTAGTGGACACAAGCTCGAGGGAGTCTCTATAGACGAACCTAAGGGAGAGTCTCTGTAGGCAAGCCAGAGAGAGAGTCGCTGTAGAGGAGCCGGAGAGAGTCTCCTTAAACAAAGAGAATCTCTATAGACGAGCTACAGAGAAAGCCTCTATAGCGGAGCCGAAGGGATTCTCTTTAGATGAGATAGAGGTAGAATATCCATAAATGAGCTGAAGAGAGAATCTTTATAGACGAGCTCTAGATAATCTCTATAGACGACCTGGACAGAGAGAGAGAGAGGCGAGTATTTGTGGACACAAGCTCGAGGGAGTCTCTATAGACGAATCTAAGGGAGAGTCTCTATAGGCAAGCCGGAGTAAGAGTCGCTGTAGAGGAGCCGGAGAGAGTCTCCTTAAGCGAGTTGGAGAGACCCTATGAGCTGGAGAGAGTATCTATAGACGTGTCGGAGAGAGAAAGATGATTTTATAGACGAGCTGGAGATAAATCCTTTACAGACGAGCTGGAGGGAGATTCTATATAGACGAGCCGGAGGGAGGGTCTTTATAGACGAACTGGATACAATACCTATATAGATGAGCTGGAGATATGTCTATATCTATAGACATTAGCTGGAGAGAGGCTAGCGGAGTGAGAGTCTCTATAGCAAGGCTAGGCAAAGAGTATCCCTTGGGATATCTGTGTGTTCACCAACACAATTGTAAAAAATAAATTGTTTTGAATTTTCTGTCAAAATGGTTTTGGGAGAATATTTAGTTTTGTTAGAGCAGTCGTTGAGGAAGGTGCTGTCGGATATTTTTATGAATACACCGTAAGAAATATTGGGGCACAAATATATCTTACTACGTATTCGGAACAAATATTTCCGAATTTGCAAAAATTATAAATTTTAAGATTTATCTTTTTTTGATTGAATTCTACTTGACAAAATTTGCATACGAATTCACATGTTAGGAATAGAAAATTTTTTGATATTATTAGACAAATTTATTGTCCTTCCAAATTAATGGACATATCCCTTGATTTCTCTGAGGGAAAATAACAGGATGTGATGTTTGTCATTCTTTTTGTAATTCATAGACATAATATTTTAGGACCCAACGCAGGATATGCGTTTCTGATCAGCATAAAATTCTACAACTATTTGCGTATGTCAGCCTGTGGTAATCGGTATTAATTTTTAAAGGATCAACTTAGATGGTTAGGGTGTTAAGTCCGAAGTTATTATTTGTGTTTAATATTTTTTTTTAATAAAAATTATATAAACTTTTTGAAAATGTCAACATATATATTTTTTTTATTTCAAAATAATTGAAATAACTGTGCAAATATATCTCCGAATTGTCTGATCAAAATATTAATTTTTAACAACGAATTTGTTTTTAAAACAGAAAATTTTAAATTGAAAATTTAAAGATAACCAATTATTTCTCACTCTGTAAAGAGAGCCAAAAAAACACTTGCAATATTTTGTTATTTCAAAACACATACAATCACAAAAAATTTTTGAGGCTCTCTGCCTTGCCCTGCTCTATAGACATTAGCTGGGGAGAGAGTATCTATAGCAAGGCTAGGCAAAGAGTATCTCTTGGGATATCTGTGTGTTCACCACTACAATTGTAAAAAATAAATTGTTTTGAATTTTCTGTCAAATTGGTTTTGGGAGAATATTTTGCTTTTGTTCGAGGAAGGTGCTGTCGGATATTTTTATGAATACACCGTAAGAAAAATTGGAACACATAAATATATCTCACTACATATTTAATGTCCGTCCGTCTATCCGTCTGTGGAAATATCTCTAGCTTTCGAACGAAATGAAGTAGGTTAATAAAATTTTACTCAAATGTATATTATGTCTATAGGACTTTTGGTATTGAAAATGGAATATGTAGGTCCACGTTTTGGTATACCTCATATAACGGTAACTCACGATATTCGGTATTTTGATGATTTTTTATTAACCGCTTTTTTTCAAGTTTCCCATTTGAATATTGTAATGGCTTATGACAAAATTGCCTATGCAGGTCCACGTCGTCGTATAAACACTAATATAACGGCAACATTCGGTATTTTTAAAATTTTAACATAATTTTTAACTAATTCTTTTAACAGAATTTTTAATTTTATTTGTTTGAAAATTGCCAAATTCGTCCCAAACGGTGGAAGGTATTCAAAGTTCGGCCAGGCCGAACTTACAGCTTTTTACTTGTTTAATTTTAAAATGAATCATTATTGAAATAATTGTGGAAATATATCTCCGAATTGTCTGATCAAATATGAATTTTTACCAACAAAATTGTTTTGAAAACAGAAAATTTCAAGATGAAAATTTAAAAAATAACAAATTATTTCTCACTGTGTAAAGAGAGGCAAAAAAACACTTGTAATATTTTGTTATATCAATACACATACAATCGCAAAAAAATGTTGAGGCTCTGCCTTGCCCTGATCTATAGACACGAGTTGGAGGGGAAATAGCTCGAAATTATTATTATTATTTCTGACATTACACCCAATATATGTCCTTAGATATATGTATCCCATTTTCTAGAGTTTTCGAAGATGAAGTCGCCATTTGTTTA